AGTTGAGAGTAGAAAGATCGTGACGACATTTGTTAATGAATAAATCTAAAGAAGCAAATTGGCCCTCAGGGGGGATCCAATTAGATTTACGCGGGTTGAGGAGTTGAAAAATATCACGATCAGAAGTATACCTGATAGCTAAGCTATTGATMGCCTGACTATAGCAGGACGAGAGGAGGTAATCTTACATCGACCTCTCATCGACCTCTCATCGACTCTCAAGCATAGAAAAAATAAGCAAATATAAAATTATTATATAATCAGTTATTAATTTTGGTATTTAAAATGGTCTTGGCCATGGGCTTCCTGTTTTTTCAATAACTAAATCGGATATGGACTTCCTGTAGATTTGTGCATTCATAAAATTGTTTTGATGCCTTGTCTTATTTATCACGAGACAAAAAATGATTGAAGGAAAGAGATATGACAGCATTAATAAGCTTGAATGGCAAGGGAACTCAGAATCATTGTACTATGGTCCAGTATGAAATAGAACGATTTCTGTTTATATAATAAAGAACAAGATAACAGAACTAATCATTTTCAGCTGATTTTTGCATAATTAGGAAGAACTTAGTAGGTCTTATTGTTTACCATTTATGAGTCATTAAGTGCATTGTGTTGGATACAAAAGTCAGCAAATACTCGGAGTATTTCTTGAGTTTGATGAGTTTGGAAGATTTACGCTTGGTTGAATGCTGAACTTTGGTGTTTGCTTTTAAAACAATTATGGAAGGATGTTATCATGAATTTGCTCAACACATAAGATTGTTTCAAAAAAACAACATTTATTTTCATTAGTCTTTTGAATTCATTGACGGTAGCATGATATCCTCGAGAGCCTAACTGGAATAACGTAGCCATTGCGTTTCTCAAAAGTAAATTTTTTAGGTCTTGCTTGCTTGTTTGGTTGGTTGAGTTTTGGAGTTAAAAATTCAAAATCCCCGCGCTCTATAAATTGGATTGCTAAACAAAAGACTTGCACAAACTTGCATAACAATACCTACCCGTCGTTTTATGGTAATGATTTAATAAACAATAGTCTGCTCGTCATTTTATGGTAACGATTTAATAAACAATGGATGTGCCCATCACTGACCCACCATTCCCGAAACAAAGACTTGTTCATACCGGTCAACAATAGTCTTATGACGTCAATTGGTCGTCATGGTAACCCGAAACAATACCTACCCGTCGTTTTATGCTAATATGCGTTGAATAATTAATGTTCCCCGTCCTTCCCCGTCCTTCCCCGTCCTTCCCCGTCCCCTTCCCCGTCAAAAATCCGGCCCGTGCCATCCCTACACTACTACTAATTTGGTACCGCGGAGAAATGAACAATTTATTTGGAAGTCAATGTAAGTGTTTACATGACATCAGGGCTGATCAAAGACACGTCTAATTAACATACCAAATTTGAATTTACTGTGCGTTTTGGGTTTTGAGTAGAGAGAAATTTAAAAACCAGTGACCTCCAGAAAAACCCTAAATTTGACCTTGAATAAAAAAACAAATACGGTGGAATCTGCTGCCAAGGCTTCGTCCTCTCTCCAAACTAAAGCTTTGGGGCAAGTAGTTCGCCCTTTTTCAGTCTTAAGCTTAGCCTCGATTGTGTCCAAACGTGTTCTTTTCTTTTATTGAGGTATATTGTGTAGTAAGGAAGTACGAACTACCGAATAATACCAGTTGATTAAAATGCGACGGCCTTTGGTTGAATAGCTGAATATTATAACGCACGACCGAGACTTTAAGGCTGAGCAAAGAGAACGTAACTCGAAACTGGAGTGTTTGAGACCCGCGTGCGTAGCCTAGTATGCGAGTTGATTTTGTACAGTTTGTCGTTCTCCAACATGATTTTCTCGCCAGATCTTCCAATTTTATTTATCTTTATTAGAAATCAGATCACTAGAGATAAACATTTGCGCATGCGTGTCACTCAGCACGTTTTCTACGAATTTATAGAGTTATTTATCTATAGAGTTTGAGGAAGAAAATAAATGTTTGTCTTCTCTGGATATATAAAAAAAGAATCGTGAGTATATTTTTGTGAGACCTAGATACTGTATTAATAAAGACAATACAAAATAAATAAGCCTGAAGTTTCAAGCATGGTTTTGGCATTTTGTGGCACCATCATCACACCAAAAAATTGCCCTTTCAAGGTTAAGCGCGACATTTGCACTGGTCATCTCCTATTTCTTTAACATTTTGCATACATCGGCTCACTGGTTAAACACAAAGCATGCAGTCGAGGTTGCAAGGTTCAGATTTGAATAATCCTTTGAAAGTACCTGGGCGCCTCGCTTGAGCGCTTTGCGTTTGACCAGTGAACCAATGTATGGAAAATGGTGAATTATGAACATTTACAATATGGCTCCATCAAAGCAAATTTCACCAATTGTAGGGTGATATCACACTGACGGTCGGGAAAACCTGCATTTGTTTTAATATTCATCCAAAGGTTTTACAATTTCACTTCCTATAAAGTAAAATCCGAATAAACAAAGAACAATACATTACAATCACGACAAATATTAGCGAGCGAACAATGAAAAACGTACCAATAGATGAACGCACATAAACACGTCGCAACCATCAAACACAATAAATACACGTGCAC